TAGGGGGTGGGGGGCTGCAGCCGAACGAAAAAAATATATATAAACAAATACACCTGAAATTTTATTTTTAAATTTCAAGAAAAAGAAAAAAAACAAATAATTATTTTCACCACTGCTGCTGCTGCTGCTGCTGCTGCTGCTGTTGCTGCTGTTGCTGCTGCTGCTGCTGCTGCTGCTGCTGTGCAGATACACAACGCGTGGTCTCGGGGACCCTTCCTTTCAGTAAACAATTGAAATAATATTTATTTTATTTTATTTTACTAATTTATTTATTTATTTATTTATTTATTTATAAATTTATTAAAAAATTGTAGTTTGCTGCAGCCCCAGCTTCTGCTGCAGCAGCCCGCAGCAGCAGCAGCAGCAGCAGCAGCAGCAGCAGCAGCTGCAGCAGCTGCAGCAGCAGCAGCAGCCGCGGTGTGCTGGTTCGTCTTCTCTATAGACCCCGAAATATAAATAAATATAATAAACAATAAAATATATTTATTATAAATAAAATAAATGTTTAATTAATATATAGTTATACCACTGCAGCTCTGCATGCAGCAGCAGCAGCAGCAGCAGCAGCAGCAACAGCAGCAGCAGCAGCAGCAGCAGCAGCAGCGCAACCAGGGGGCCCCCTGTCGGCTCTTGGGGGCCCCTAACAGCCCCCCCTAGTTTTGTGTTGCTGCTTGCGTTCTGCTCTCTGCCTATTAAATAAATAAATAAATAAATAAAATATAAATAAATAAATAAATAAATAAATAAATTTGTGTTTTTTGTCTCGCTGCTGCAGCAGAAGGGCAGGGGGGCCCCCAAACCCTTTTTGGTGTTTTAGGGTTTAGGGGCCCCCAGCAGCAGAGCAGCAGCATGCAGCAGCTAACATCTCCAGTCTATCGCAGCAGCAGCAGCAGCAGCAACAGCAACAGCAGCAGCAACAGCAGCAGCAACAATAACAACAGCAGCAACGGCAGCAGCAATACCGACATTAGAAACAGCAGCAGCAGCAGCAGCAGCAGCAGCAGCAGCAGCAGCAGCCAAGCATCTTCCCTTTCTCCCCCTGCGTATGCA